CAAACATATCTGAAAGAATCAAAAGCAGGGATTTGAAGAGATATCTTGCCCACCTAGGTTCCCAGCGGTGTTACAGCAGCCACAAGGGGAGCAACTCAGGCACTCATTAATAAGACTGAAAAACAAGCAAAATGTGGTATGTCCATATAGTGGAATACTATTTGGTTTGTAAAAGGAAATTCTGATCAATGTCATAACATGAATGAACCTAAAAAACACTATTCAATTATTCTAATAAGCCAGGCATAAAAGGATAAATATTGTAGGATAGCATTCACATAAAATATGTGGAGCAGGGAAATTATAAAGACAAAGTACAATGGTGTTTGACAGGGACTGGGGGAGAAAGGAATGGGTTATTGTTTAATGGCTACAGAGCTTTAATTTGGGATGATGAAAGTTTTGGAAATGAATAGTGGTGATGGCTGTACAATAACAGGAGTGCAATAATTCCATTACCTGTACACTTAGAAATGGCTAAAATGGACAGTTTTATATGTATTTGGTCACAGTTTAAAAAAACAAAACAAAACACCCAAATCAGGAGTTGTGGCCATAGGAGGTCGTGCATCTTAGGTTTCTTGAGGTAGAATTGCCATGAGGCAGGCCTGGCTGGGACTGTGGAACATGGGGCTCCAGTGGGGACAACATACACCAGGTGATGGGGCTGTGCCCCACTGAAGACATCTTTGGAGTTCAGGGCGATGGAGCATAATGTAGACTGCACAGGAACTGTAGGTGAAATGACCTCAAGGCTTGCCCCTCTCCAGCCACACAGACATCTCAGCCAATTTTCAGTGTGACAGTGGGCTGTGAACACTTTCAGAGATACCCAGTAGTTTCTGAAAGGCTAAACAGCTCCCGATAGACATTACTAGCCACAATAACCTCTGATGTGGTCCTGGGATAAAGAAGCATGCTGGGGGCAGCATGTACGGTGATTCCAAACAGTTTAATGTAATTCCAAGACAAAGTGTGATTACATCTCTACACATATACAATATGCATATGTGAGTTTACACATTTTAATTAATAACTCGTTTCACCTCAGAGACCGAAAAAATGATCAAAAAGAAACTGTGAATAACAAGCTATAACAGAGTTCACCACAACAGGACCCCCCATCCTCACCCTACAGTTAGTAATATTACAATTAAAATAACTATATTCTTCTATAATTTTTTCTGTTAAAATCATCTCATAAATTTACAATGCTATTATTAGTTTCCAAGACTAATATAAATTCACTCCATTTTTCTACAACGAAAATGATTATTAATTTAGAAGCACACGACATCAGGATGAAACACAAGCATTTTAGTAGCAACAACTTGATCAGTTAAGAATTAGTTTTCTTGAAAAACATTCTAAAGCCAA